AAAAAAACACCAGTTTTACTTCTTTATATGAGTACTTATTTCTTACATTATATTCGAATACTTTGAACTGCCTTTATTAATAAGTGCATAGCACTTTAGTTCGTAAAAATAGGTAAAAAGTATTTAATTATTCTTCACGTAACTCATTATGTTTAAATTAAGTTTTCTTTTCGCTTTATAGTACTTATAAATTACTTAATTTTAGTTAAACAAAACATTATATGGGTAGGTATGTTTCATCAACTTAAATCAACTCAAATGATTACTAAGCCTTATAAAATTGCAAGTCCCTTCTAGATTACCTCGTGGACCCATAATTCCGCTAATACCTTCATTTAGAAGAACTGTTCTGGGTAGTAATTCTCCAATAGTAAGGTTCTGTAAAATTTTAAATAGCTGCAGTGACCAGGTCGATATTAATTTCGATACTCCAATTGCTTTTGTACGAAATATCTATAAATATATAAAATGAGTCGTGCTGCTGGATCTGCTTATGGATATGGTGGCTTTAATTGTTAGTTGTTAAGCATTTTAATAATAGTTGTAAGCTATATATATTTCTTACTGTACTTATTGTTATACATGTATCAATATATGCTGTGTTTGCCTATAAAAAATTGTTACACTTAGTTCTAAGCTCCATAATTGTATATATATTTACATTATTTTGTGGAAACAATTGTTGGTGTACCTCAATAAATAAATCAATTCAGGTAATGATAATAATTAACTATCTTTATAAGTGTCCTAAATATTTTTATAATTAGTAAATAGATTTTAAATAACTTTCATATATTTAGAGATATCTATTACAGAGCGACATAAAATAAATTAACATTTCTATCAAAAGTTATCCGACTGTCATTACAAATTCATTAGATCAACATGAATGAACTTACAATAATAAACAGTATATTTCCATAATGTTCAAGTAATATAACAAACACAGACTTTTTAAATAATTTATTATATGCATTAATTTATATTATATATATAACATTTACAACTCTTATATATGTTATAAGTTATTTTGTAAGACTTCATAAACATACACACATATTTAAAAATACAATCAAATAATTATATTACTTATATAGAATCACGCTATTTCTTTGTGAATGAGTATAATAAATAATTTGTAATAAATTATGTATATAATAGCTCTTAATAAGATCTTATATATATATTTGCAATAAATTATATATATAAGATCTATCATTGTTCCAAATTTAATTTGTATCCGTTTAGGTTCTTAAAAGTGTGATAATATTTCATCAAAATCGGAAACACACATACACAATGCCTCTAATAATAAAAGTGCCCGCTTGCACTACGGTAATCGCTTACCATTAAACAGAATTGATTTGTTTATTATATTGTTTACTTTAGTGAAACAAAAACTAAACTTCTCATATTTGCACCTTCATATTTATATATTAGTTATTGTGGCAATGAATTGTTCAATAAAAGACATATCCAAATCATACTTGATTTGGCACGCAATGCTACAGGTGTCTACGCGTCGCCGAGATAATTTCGTATGACGCGAGCACTCTGAGACAATTATCATTTCTGTCACACCCACATTTGTTTGTGATACACTGAATTCTGTATGTAGACAGATGACATGTAGTTCTAAAGCCGGAATTATTTTTACGAGCGTAGCAAATAACAAAATGTAAAGGAATTTATTAAAAAAAGCTGTAGTAGAAGGAAAATTTTGTTAAAAAGCTCCAGATAATTTTATTTTGAAACTTGTAATCGATATGCAAAATGTTAATTTGCATATTTAATTTTAAAATTTCGCGTTGTTGACACATATTTAAAAATAATAACAATAATTAACAATAAAAATTACTTGATTTTAGGCTCAGACTTGCGCGACGGGAAATCAGGATTGCGTTCTGAGAGTGTATTTAGTTTTTCGCATATTTATACGTAATATTCTATTCATTTTATACTAAAAGTATTAAAAAAAAAGGAAGGTTAGACTTAAAGGAAAGAATAAAAAAAATTAAAAAGTGTGAATCTAAATGTTATATTATTATGAATATACTTCATTCATTTCAATTAATTATTTATATACCTTTATACTTTAATAAAAGTAAATCACGGACTGATGTTTTGTATTTTCATTATATGATAAAAAAATGTATTTGGAACCGGTGATTCCTAATTTCCTCCATCGAAAACATTACTCAGTTAATCTCAATATTTATTGATAGACAATATTTTATAACTTGGCAACTGTTTAGTGTATTATTATATTTTATAGTTTCTAATAAAGTGTTAAAAGCAAACAAGCTGCCAAGACATAACGTGAACAACGATATCACAAAATAATACTGTGCCGCCTGTGACAACCTTCATGCGTTGCAATTCTTTAAGAATGATATTATGCATGATGCATCGGAAATTATGAATATACCTTATCGCTGTTATTTTCATTTCAAATGTTTGAGATTAAAATAACAATAACGTATCTGATCTATGCTAATAAAGGTTTGAAGGATATGACCAAAAAAAGTAGGTTCACAACTCATCCAAATATTTTTTACGACATTACTACATTAGGCGTCGCCTATATTTATAATTATTTTTGCGACCGATAGGATTTTTTGGTCTTCTATTAATTTTATGATGCAGTTACCTGCAGTCATAAAATTAAAAAAAAAATATTTGTTGCTAAGCAAAGAGCGGCTTGTTGCGAAACAAAATTCTATTTGTAAACACGTTATTCCGCGTTCTAAATTAAAATATTTACAGTATAAGGTATCTACGAGACCTCTCGTCGTTTATTAATGTATGTTATGATGTATGTATTCGCGGTTGAAGTGACTTTTTATGGAGTAAAATGTACTTACTAGTTTGCCAATATAACAAGCCTTATACGTATTGTCCGCTAATTCAATAATATATTGTACATAAAAACTTTGTTGGTATACATATCTACACATACTTTATGTATCTATATGAAATAGCAGTTTATACGGTACACAGAAAAGAAATAATACAGCAATATAATTTTGATTAGTTCCGATAAAACACCGTTCTTCCGATTTATGGGGCAAGTCAATAACTTTAGAGATTTACATGAATTTTTATGTTTTACGATACACAATAATATGAATCAAACATATCCATATATAAGTTTGACTTATATTAAATTATATATTATTATTATTTTAAATATTAAATTAACTATTCAATTTTCTGTCTAATATAATATTTTAAGAAGCTATAAAAGCAAAATAATGCTATGTATATAACAAAAAATAATCTTATTGTTATCTATTTGTTGACTAATTACAAATGAAAAGGAGGTTATATTTTAAGGTCCGTTTATTCCTGTTAATGAAACTCTCGACCTATACTCTAATTTTCGGCAAATCTCTATATTTCTTGATACGATAACAACTTTGTTCTTGCTACTTGATACAACTACACCTTGATCTTTCCACTCCATTCCTGCCTTCAATCTTACTTTCCATTTTAATTTTCATGAATTTATGTATTGTATCGAGCATTTCCACTTGTTTTCCCTTTTGTTTCCGATATAAAGTAAATGTGTATTAATATTTGATGAAACGTTAGTCTAAATTTATAGTCTCGACAATGTGAGAGTGAATCTCCTAGTTATTGGCTAATAACGTAAGTGTTCGTATGCTGTGATAATCATTTATTACAAATGATATTATAAATATTTAGTATTGTTTTGCATGCGGGGCCTGGCTTTTAAAAAAGATGCATATATATCCTTAAAAATGCCTTTGCGATATTTCACTTTTTAAATACGCCTGTGATTATAAGTGCAGTCTTAATTAAATTAACCGTTGCTATCTTATTGGGTTATTCACATAACAGAATATTCTCATTCAAAATTCATTACGCTAGAATAAATAAAGATGTTGTTATAATATATTCAGTTATATTTTTCGCACGCTTGTAAATGAACTCTTGCGCATATTCGGAAGCGGAACAACAACGATCACGCGATGTTATAACTACGAGTATATATATATAATACCCTTGTTTGTTGGACCAGTTATTTTTGTTGTCTCTAGCTACTGTAAATCTAAATAGTTCTTAATATTGTATGGATGTATCTTTCTGTCATATCCTTTTTAGGGTGAGCGGATAAAATAGAATGTTACTCTAATAATTTTTTTTGCTTTATTTATTCATTTGATCTAACGCCCAGTACTATCTAGTTTCAAACAAAGCAAAATTTATAATATGGATACTAGATCACTGATATGTCACAAAAAATGTACTTAGTCATGCATTAATACATTTTTTGTGAATACAAATATTTCTATTATACTAGGATCAAATCTCAACCATCGAATGAATGAAATTCAAGAACTTTGGTGATGTAACTACATCACATCATACATCACCAAAGTTCTTAAATATTATCTAATCTAAGCACGTACGTATGGTTTTCTCAAAATAATTGCATAGAAACACCACATATAAGTACATTTCAGGCGCGGTGACTGCACTATTTTTAAAAAGTCGGAAATACGGTTACCGTTTATCGACTGACGTGCTCCAAACTGTCCACCTATCTAATGATACTGAAGCGACATATAGTTCATTGTAATTCGTGACCACTGATATAGAACCGGTCACAAAATGCCCAGTTCTAAACAACCTGTCAATTAAGTCCAGGAAAGTTGACAATTTCACGTGTGACTGCACAGTGGCCGTTATTTTTTTTCCACGTCACTGCTAATGATAAATAGATACAGTTTCTAGTTAGAAAAAAATATGTGACATATTTTTTTTTCTAACTAAAAACTGTAAATATTCACACTTTATTCATCTATATTACTAGACGTTAATTGAAAACACTCACGCAAACTGATATTATACTAAAACTTATATTAATTAGATTAACAGAGTTTGAAACCGTATTATGTGAAAAATAATTTTGTTTTCATTGTGATGTATGAATTCATTTTATACTAAAACAAAAATATGTGTTATAAACTCACTCTAAACAGAAGTATAGTGCAGCTCCTAAGTTCCTGAAAAAAAAAACAATATAATTTTTAAATACATTTCCACAAAGACATCGTACGTTACGTTAGTACCTACATGAACGCTTATGGAGTGATTTCAGAGAAGTTAATTAGGAGAAGTAACATATAAGTTGTAAAATTAATATTTTATTGATATAATGTTTAAAGTCTGTATGTTGGAATTAATTACGAGTGAAAAGGGCATTTCTAGTATGTACCGTATCAATTAATGATAAGGTTTCTACGATCAGCAACAAGCACGTGACATATCTAGCGTAATACATTGTAGGCGTCTTTAAATAAAATGTGCTAGTATTCTTATACATTATCGTATAATCTATTGTGTGTATATTAACAAAGAAATTAATATATCTAATAACATACGGTAAGCTGTCTAAAAAATAGGAGTAAAATAGGTTTCTTATATAAAAATTTATCACTTTAGATAGAAAAAAATATAAAATTTAATAAATCTAATGTTATTTTATGAAAGTTCATATTACAGATTGATTAGCATAACATATATAATAACAACAACCTGAGATTTTATGATGAGATACTAAATTCTAGACAATACCAGCATAATCATGATATAAATTCGTAGTTTATTATTAATGATATTGGCTCTAACCCAAGGTTGGATCAAATTGATTTAATATTCCAACAATTCATCTATCTAATAATGTCCTATAATTATAGAAACACCTTCGTCACATGCATCCGATCTATTTCCAGCTATTATTAAAGATTAACCATGCAAATAGGTAATTAAAATCAATATGACGATATTAAAATATTACATACACTTGTAACAATAAATAGAATATAAGATTAATTATAATTTAAGGAGAAAAATAAATTAACATATAATTAAAGAAAAATAATATGATCCTATTTATATCTTTATTAGCTATAGTGAATTATTATGTAAAATATACTATATCTGTAAACTAAATTTTATTCAAATTTGTTTAGTAGTGTAGTAACGTGAAGCAATAACAAATATCTATCTATACGTAAATCCTCACAAACTTTTGCATTTATAATAGTAGTAGGATTATCATTTGACTTAATTCAAATGAATACAATAAAAATCGAAGATAATTGCAATTTACAATGTGCATAATTTAATCTATTCAATAGCTTGCTTTTTATCGAATTTGATCAATACGTATTAAATATTTAACGATGCAAGGCTAAACAGGGTGGATCTTAAACCACTAACCTCTTTGTTTAATTCCGTCAAATAAATTAAACTGAAGAACTCTTAAATCTTTGAGACGGGATAAAATTAAATTGCATATTGTTTCAAAAGCCCATTAATATATTTTTATTACTGATGATGGTTTAAATATAGATTAAGAAAAGATTAAACCAGAAATTAAAATAGCTACAAATAAAAACATTAATGTATTGTAAACTCTAAATCTTAAAATATAATAAATTGCTTTTATCGGTCACTAATGGAAGGACCTTTTTTTAAGTAAACAGAAAAGACGGATACTGATGGACAAAATAACGCCGTCGTTACTTCCACAGTTTAAAAATGAAGTTACATTCAATACATCATCAATATCAGAATACATACTATTCGAAACTATCAAAAGTTTAATTTATATTGTATTACATTTTACGATCATTTTAAAAGAATTTTGTTATTGACCTACTAATGCATCTCGCATAATATTATCAAAAACTTACTAAATATTTTTTATTGTTGCTTTTTTTGTTTTTCATTCTTTTGTCTCTTTTTACTGTGTATGGCTGTATTATGTGTATGTTTGAATTGTTATTTGTATGTTGTAAGTAATGCAAATAAATTATCTATTTTATTTTTAAACGATGTTGTTATTGATCGATTATTCTATATTGGTAGACCTTTTCATTTAGGCGATGATGAATTGCAATTTAAGCAAATTGGAGTAGAAGCGAGAATAAAATGAAACTGAATGCATAAATTTAATTCTTTTAAAGTATCTTCAGTAAAAATAATTAAATTAAAGAAAAAGATTTATCACGTTTACAGTTTGAAGAAATGAAAATATACAACATTATTTACAAATAAGATATTATTATATCAGCTGTTAACTGGCTACTGCTGAACATAGGCCTCTCCTTTGGGGGATTTATAAATAATAAATATGTATCCCTATAACTTATTTAAAGTTAATTTAAGGTCGACCTGATAGGATATATTGCTAGCAATGGGGCTGTTAAACCCTATTACTAACAATCCCTTTCTCCCATCCTTCACTATTGTCCCGCCATCGTATACCGTTAGCGCAGACGGAATTACCATTCCATTATCATTCATTAAAAAAAAAACTCATTTAAGGTACTGTGAAATAGCACTATTACTTATACTGTGTCTAAGATGCCTGTCAATATAAATGCACAGAATATTAAATAGTGATAGGTAGTGCAGCCAAACCTTATGTCATTTGCCTTGTAGCATAAATTAGAAAATAATGACTCTAACCGATTTCATTTCAATCTTAATGGATACAAATAGGTATAATGAACAGACTAGAACTGTTCTACAATTTACTTGTCACTAGCAATATGATAGACTAGAATTGTGTTCAATTGTACATTAATATATATTGCTCGATATGTAAAAAGCCAAAAACAGTGTAATATTTTAATTTTTCAACTCCCAAAAGAAAAAAAATTCTCAAATTGTCTTTATTTTTTCTTTTTGTGAATTATTGTGATTAGAGTAAAGCTTTTTGCAATCAAATTTATGTTCCCATATGAATTTTATGTCTGTGGAAAAAAACTAATTATGAATCTATGTATTGCTAATAAACGCTTTTACACTTTAAGCTTAAATATTTTCTAACTAATAATATGTCTACGAGACATCATATCAAATACTAAATGATTTTTCACAAATAATATTAAGGAAATGACTTCTTTTGCAATTTTGTTTCATTTTCAACATAAATGACTGCATTCGATCCAACACAATATAATAGAGAAGGATATTGCCTTTTATATCACAATCACTTTTTTGCAAACATTTCCGTATATCTCAAGTAATTTCGGCAAAATTTGCTTGTAGGTGGGTATGTAATATATGTAGATATGGGAATTAATATAAGTGATAGTGAAACCGTCGAAAATATTATTTATTTGGTTACATTATAAGTAGGTATAGTGTGTGTACAGTAAAAGTAAATCGTCATTACGGTATCCAATCACCAGCAATGTTATTAGGTACCTGCTAATGATCTCTATACTAACAAAGTTCGAAACTCCATTCAATTAAAAGCTAAATATTAAAATGGTTTCGGTTATAAATATTGATAGTAGCAGTAAAATGTCAATAAACAGCGAGCGATCGCCATTAGGATGGTTGGTGGAGTGACGGAAGTAGAATCAGTCATTAAGGGAAAAACATTACAAAATCAAACACAAACTTGTACACTGACAGAGCTGGAAACTTCGCCTAATTGCTGAGAAGTGCTCCTTTGAGCTACTTAAATACACCCGGCGAATAAAATGCGTAAATTACGAGCCGAAGGAAAATAAATGGCTTCGTTTTAGTATTTTAAATGTTGATTTTACAAGTAGATTAACAACAAAAAACAGCAACTTTAATCATTAAAAAAATATTGATACTAATAATCTTTGTATTCTTATTTTCACACTAATAAAACGCAAGGACAGACGACGAAATGAACGTGGAATCGTGTGTCTACATATAAAATTGTCAAAGTGGATTTGCCGCTTGCTCCAGCAAAGGAGTAAACACTGACGATTTTGAAAGAAAAATATCAGAATTATGGCAAAGATATCATGTAACATACACATAAAAAATACAAGCAAATAGGGAATATCCTCCTTTTTGATTCCTTTATAAAAATTGTATAAAATTGTCCTCTTACCTTAACAACCTTATAGTTGATGCTTACAACTTGGGTTCCTTTGATAAGTGAGGCTTACATATGTCGACCATTGACCCTTATTATATATTGTACTGGTATATAGCTTTGTGTTTATACATCCTTTTTTACAAGCTTTTAATGAACTTACTTTTATATGTAAATATTACCGATTAAAATTAATATTTAATTTTTGCTAGCATCCCATTCTTCTGAAATTTGGTATACTTTAGTAAGTTCGATGACAATACAATGCTATGGCACCATCGAGCTGTTCTAATGATATACACAAATGGTAGCCATTGAAATTCATTATAAATATTTTTGGATTTGTTTTAATTTATTTCGACAAAAACGACAGTCCTGTGTGGAGCTCAGAGTTGGATGATGCAGATTCTCTATAAGGGTTTGATTTAAAAAATATTTCTAAACACATTTTTTATTTTTTAAGGTATCCTGATTACAGACCTTGAATGCCATGCCATCCATTTTTATTTAAATATTTTGATTATAAAAGTTAAAGATTTGAAAACATCTTATTTACATAACTGCATAAAATTTTATTAAATATATTAGCAATATTAATGAATTAATACAGATAAATAAAACATTAATAATATACTATTAATGAATTAATACACATATAATTATAAATTTAATCTTTTATTTATCTATCACATTATACAAAATCAAGCCACTTACATTTCAATTAAAGAAATAGCAAACAGTGGCCTTTATATAATTCAGTCAATGAAAGAATTTCAAATTAATAAAATTTAAAATAACTTGATAGTGACATTGACCCCGTAGTAAGGCTAAGTTACAATCATATATTAATATTAAGCAGGAAAGTAATTAGTGTAATTATAATTAAATTTTTCAATAACGTATACAATGTCACAGGATCTTTTATACCGATAGCAGAAAAAAAATTGTATTAACATATTAAAGTTATAATCTTGATTTAATATGTTTTGTAGTTACAAGTCCATATAATCATGTGTTGTGTTTTAAGTCAAATAATAATAACCTTTCTATAATAAGAAACACTTGGTATAGTATTGTATTTCTTAAGTGATATGTATATTATAAACGGTATTAAGTTGTTATTTGACGCAA